TGTATGATCACTTTTATATTATATACAGTAACATCAGATACCTGTCCTGATCTCAGGGGTTTCATGTATGATCACTTTTATATTATATACAGTAACATCAGATACCTGTCCTGATACCAGGTGTTTCATGTATGATCACTTTTATATACAGTAACACCAGATACCTGTCCTGATCCCAGGTGTTTCATGTATGATCACTTTTATATTATATACAGTAACATCAGATACCTGTCCTGATCTCAGGGGTTTCATGTATGATCACTTTTATATACAGTAACATCAGATACCTGTCCTGATCTCAGGGGTTTCATGTATGATCACTTTTATATACAGTAACATCAGATACCTGTCCTGATCTCAGGGGTTTCATGTATGATCACTTTTATATACAGTAACATCAGATACCTGTCCTGATCTCAGGGGTTTCATGTATGATCACTTTTATATACAGTAACATCAGATACCTGTCCTGATCTCAGGGGTTTCATGTATGATCACTTTTATATACAGTAACATCAGATACCTGTCCTGATCTCAGGGGTTTCATGTATGATCACTTTTATATTATATACAGTAACATCAGATACCTGTCCTGATCTCAGGGGTTTCATGTATGATCACTTTTATATTATATACAGTAACATCAGATACCTGTCCTGATCTCAGGGGTTTCATGTATGATCACTTTTATATACAGTAACATCAGATACCTGTCCTGATCTCAGGGGTTTCATGTATGATCACTTTTATATACAGTAACATCAGATACCTGTCCTGATCTCAGGGGTTTCATGTATGATCACTTTTATATACAGTAACATCAGATACCTGTCCTGATCTCAGGGGTTTCATGTATGATCACTTTTATATACAGTAACATCAGATACCTGTCCTGATCTCAGGGGTTTCATGTATGATCACTTTTATATACAGTAACATCAGATACCTGTCCTGATCTCAGTTGTTTTGTGTATGATGACTTTAAATAAAAATAGAAAATAAATATGAGTTATGTTAATTAACTAAGATCGAGAAAGAAAAATTAACCACGATTTATTACAGAAAATGTGGTATTTATTTGTTTAAACATGACTGAATACCATATTTTAAACTACAAAAACACGGTTAATCTTACCACAACCATTATTATTTGGTTTAAAATGGAAGTACAAAAGCCCAGAGACAGTAAAACGGAGTAAAACGAGGTCAGCCGTTTTTGCTAATGAAATCTTTAAAATATAACATTATAAAAACAAAAAAATAACCTGTATGATTGTTTTTTCCCTCGTTATCCACCGCGGTAGGTTCTTTATCCATAATCATCCTGTTTAAAATGACCGCGCTAAAAAATAACCTGTACTGCGCATGATCGGTGACCTCTCAGTATTGTTTTTTTTTAAGGGGGCGTTTCCCAAACACCGACCGAGCCACGCCCATTTTACGTCGTGGTAATGAAACCCCTGGAATTTAGTGCATGCCGTTCTTCTCTAACTCTGCTGCAGTCTATACACAGACTCTGTGCGCAATAGCGCCACCGGCGAACTAACAGGAACTGCACTCCCATTAAAGCAGGATTTAATACTGAACTATTAACATGGTATATATTTATTTCGTTACATATATATATATATATATATATATATATATATATATATATATATATATATATATATATATATATATATATATATATACACACAGTCAATTCATACCCATTACAAATTTTGACTTAATGTTACTTATTAAGTTAATTATTCAATAATTAATAATAATAATTAATTAATGTTAATTATTCAACCAGCAAGATTGTTTTTCACCAGAAATTACACAGCCTTCTTCCATGAAGAGGCATTACTGGGAAAATTCTTCTCAGCTTATATTTACATTTGAACAAGACCTGTAAGTGAGAGATTACCTGGAGTATGGATAATTTAGGGCCTGACCGTGTACAAATATAATATTAAAAGTAGAGTTACTAGCCACATGGAGACCCATCTTGAAACTCATAAAAAAAAACTGTCAGCATTAGGTTTGCAAAAACTCTGAGAAAATCTGTTTTTATTTCTAATGTATGTTTTTGTCTCACTGCCTTTGTAAAACAAGCAAGTGTTTGTTTATACGGTTGATACATATGGTGTACATGTTGTATATATTTGATTAAAGAGACAATCCCTCTTCTTCTTTATTTAAAAAAAAAATTCTCTGGGAAGGAGTGTGTATTGCTATTTCTTTTAAGATTTCCTTATATATTCACTTATATAAGCTTACATATGCTCTTTGGAATGGAAATAATTATAATTAGGTTAATCTTAATAAGGCAAAATTAGTAAAACATTCAAAATAAAAATAAAAAACATTTTTTTTGTAAAACATTCATTCATTCATTTTCTTTTCGGCTTAGTCCTTTTATTAATCTGGGATCGCCACAGTGGAATGAACCACCAACTTATCCAGCACGTTTTTTTGCAGCTGATGCCTTTCCAGCCGCAACTCATCACTAGGAAATGCCCATACACACTCATTCACACACACACACACTATGGACAATTTAGCCTACCCAATTCACCTGTACCGCATGTCTTTGGACTGTGGGGGAAACCGGAGCACCCAGAGGAAACCCATGCGAACACGGGGAGAACATGCAAACTCCACACAGAAATGCCAACTGAGCCAAGGCTCGAACCAGCGACCTTTTTGCTGTGAGGCAATTGTGCTACCCACTGCGTCACAGGTTGTAAAATATATAATGTAAAATTAGATTTTGAGCTTCCAGACTTTACTCATCCTTTGAGATTTATTCAAAAAACAAACAAGCAAACAAAAACAAACAGTTTGTGATTAGCTTTGTTTTGACCGTATGGCTGCTGGTCTGTGCTGGTTGAATCTGGTCAACTGCTGCTCCTTAAAATAGTTCAGCTAAGAATCTCAAAAGTATAAATAGTAAATAGTGAGATAAATTCTGTTCAACACTTCTCTCTGAGCTCTCTATTAAAGTCGAGTCTACCCACATACACAGAGACGAAGTTAGCACTAGCAGAAATAAATGGAGGAAGCGAGAACAGTGACGCAAGTGTGTGTGTTTATCATCAGTCAGTCTCTCTCATTATAAATAGTCATGGTATAGTCAATAGTCAATACAGTAAATAGTAAATATTTGCTATTTGTTCTGCATATTTGTTTATTTACTGTTTTAGTTATTGCTAGTTAATGTATTTGCTATGAACAAACAACAAACATCACACTCAATATGATTTATTCATCTTTGTTAACTTAGTTAATGGATAAGATGTTTATTCTTGGTCCATTATACACAGCTATAATGTTACCAAGCAGGGCTGGACTGGGGCAAAAAATCGGCCCTGGCATTTTGGGCCAGAGCGGCCTACTACATTCCATCAAAATGCTATCTATCTATGCACGTCCAATATTTTTATCAACTCATATTTTATAAAACACAAAAGCCATATATATGAAATGAATAAATACAAACTTTAATATCAATTTAATTTCTGTATATTGTCCATAAAGATATTTGTTGAGTTCTAAAAAATACACTATTCTTTTTCTTGGCATTAGTCCCTTATTTATCAAGGGTTGCCGCAGTGGAATGAACTGCCAACTATTCCAGGTATGTTTTATGCAGCAGATGCCTTTCTAGCCACAACCCAATATTGGAAATCACCCATACACACTCATACACTACAGCCAATTTAGCTTATTCAATACACTATTCACTCAGCCTATATTCAATAATAAACATAACAAAAACTGCCTGCTAATGCATGGGTAAATCTTCATAGGGAACAGTGTACTTTATAACCTCATTCACCTAATCCTGCTTGCTGTTTCACTATCTAAACAATGAAAACATAATATAAGTCAAATTTGTTTCATTTTGATATTGTGATTAACAGACACCAAACAGCCTCGTGTAGCTGCATATTTATATAAGCGTCATCTTCACTGCATATTTATAACAAAACAGGGCTTAAATATAACTGTCTCCTTTCATTTTCTTTGAAAAGAACAAACTTTACCCTGTCTCTTTAGCAGAATATCAGTTTTAATAATCAATAATGGCCATTATAACAGTATAACGTACAATAAATTTATATAATAAAGGTAAGCAATCAGTCAATGTGCAGAATCAGTGTACGTAATTACATAAATTAATATATTAACTTATCTTTGCACTCAGCCAAAACAACAAGATGAATTCAATATCACGTTTAACAACTATAGTGAGATGAGATCATCCAGCAGATGAACTGTCTGACATGCACTATACTCTCATCTGGGGTTTATGCTCACCCGCCAGCTCTTGGCAGAGAGTGTGTGGTCAGGTGATTTGCGCTTTTAGCCCTATACTAGAATGAACAGAGAACTTCTCAGAACCGTTAAATGAAACGCTGGTGTATTTCCCGCTATTTCTCTGCGCCTCCCTTGCGTTTCTTCTCTCTGACTCTCGACTATTTTGACAAATACACACAGACGACGCACGCCCACACGGAGCCCAAAATAGGAGTTTGTGATTGGACCAGCCCAATGTCAATAAAGAAAAGAGCCAATGGGCTGCAATGTCACATGGGCCGGCCCGGTCTGTCTGTCCGGGAAAAAAGGCATCTACTTTCAGAGAGTCACAGATCACAGCTGCGTCAATTAATAAGGCAGAAAATAGGCGATAGGCTGCTAAGCCTTTTATGGGCCGATCAGATCATAAGACGATGATCAGCCCGGCCCAAAAAGTACGTCGGCCCACCGGGAAAGTGCCCGGTCCGCCAGATGGCCAGTCCGCCCCTGTTACCAAGTATGAATATAGATTGCAATAGTAAAAGTTGATCTATGATTAATTGTTAAATGCTGTACATGTATTGTTTATTATTAGTTCATGTTACTGCATATTAACTAACATAAACTAATAAAACATTGTAAAGTGTGACCGCTTTAAAATAAAAGAAAAAGAGGAAGCAGGAAGTGAAACCTGTTGAAGTTTTCCGTCCATCATGATCACCAGTTCTCTGTTCAGTGCTTCAATACCGCAGTAAAGCAAGGTAAGATACACATCTGAATATTAAAATTAGCTTCTGCTTCAGTAATGACTGGTTACTATATGATAAAATGATCAGTGTGTCTTTGATAACATGTAGCCTACAGAAAAGCTTTAGTGTGTGCTTACAGTTCTGTTTTAATGTCTTTCAGGATGTTTTGTCTTTCATTTATAATTTCTCTGCTCATGATTCCCGGTGAGTCTAAATGCTGTGCAGAACTTACACATTAAGTACTGTTAAATATTATGATAGATCATCAAGTATAGTTCAAATAGATCGATTTTGTCTTGTTGGACACTTCCTGTAATGTGGGGTGTTGCTGTCATTTTGGTCTTTTTGTTAAGTTTTTGCAATCCACTAGGTGGCATTTTAAATAGTATGAGTGAAGAGAGCATGATATTGTGATATTGTATTATTTATGTATTTACCAAAAAAAAAAAAAAAAAAGAAATATAAAAATAAATACACAAAATAAATCAAAGCAAACACTGAAGCAGTAAATCTGAAGACACTACACCTATTCGGTATCTCCCACATTTTACCGTTTTATCCTACTATCATCCACTTTAAAAATGTTGTATTTCTCCAGTATTTTTAATCTTTCTAATAAAGATAAGCCGATTCTACAATTGTTGCTAGAAGGGATACAGCTGCAGCCAGATGTTAACTAGAATGATTTTATTTATTTATTGTCTTTCAGCTAAGTTCCTTTATCAGGGGTTGCCACAGCGGAATGAACCGCCAACTATTCTAGCATATGTTTTATACAAGCGATGCCCTTCCAGCCACAACCCAGCACTGGGAAACATCCATACACACTCATTCACACACATACAGTACAGCCAATTTAGTTAATCAATTTCCCTATAGCGCATGTGTTTGGACTGTGGGGGACACCGGAGCACCCGGAGGAAACCCACACCAACATGGCGAAAACATGCAAACTCAGAATCACAGAAATGCCAACTGACATAGTGCTAACCACAGAGCTACTGTGCTGCCTAGAACTATTTATATTATTTATTAAATTACCTATATCAGTGGTTCTTAAACTTTTTTCATCAAGTACCACCTCAGAAAAAAATTGTCTCTCCAAGTACCACCAAAATGAGCAGTATTGAATTACAATAGCGTAGTTGGCCTAGTAAAGCAGCTATAAATCTGCACAGTTAAAAAAACGTGGCAAATTCCCTCAGAAATATAGGCTTCATGTCATATATGGCATATTATATACATTATTTTTGATACATTTTTAAATGTGTGTAGCATGTACATGACATACACCATTCCTTCGCGTACCACTAATAGGAAGCCTGCGTACCACTAGTGGTACACGTACCACAGTTTGAGAACCACTGACCTATATATATATTATTTTATTAACATCTCACAACCCTAACCCTAAAGCAATGTAAAAATAGTAATTATTGTTGTACGGTCATACTATTATTTTAATAATCTAAATATTTTTCATTAACTTCCAGCCGGAGATGCATCTCTCCTAGAATTTATCCAATGCTACACTTTAAAAAAAATCTGTAATTTTACAGTTTGTTTCCAGCAGCTGGGGTGCCAGAAAAAGAAAAACATAAAATAACAGCTGTTGATTTACAGAAATTTGAATTTAAGGAAATTTCTGTAATTTAAGGGGTCCATTGGGGTCCTAAGCAGACTCGATTGCAAGGGGGACTCGATTTTTCACCACACCGGAGCTTGATTCGTTTATCTATAATCACGTGATCTGTGATTTCCGAAGCTTCATTTTCACCTATACCCACATGACTGCTTTAAACACCCTCATTTGTAAAGTGTTTAGTGAGAGTTTAGGCATCGATTGCACTACACAGGTCACATGCACCAGTAATTCAACTAAAATAAAATAGTAATTTATAGTAAAAAGCTTTTGTGGCATACTAAAATGTACTACGTGGGTGAAGCGATGGCGCAGTTGGTATTGCTGTCGCCACACAGCAAGAAAGTCGCTGGTTTGAGCCTCGGCTGGGTCAGTTGGCACTTCTGTGTGGAGTTTGCATGTTCTCCTCTTGTTGGCGTGGGTTTCCTCCCGCTGCTCTGGTTTCCCCTACAAGTCCAAACACATGTGGTACGGGTGAATTGGGTAGGCTAAATTGTCCGTAGTGTAAGAGTGTGAATAAGTGTGTGTGGATGATTCCCAGAGATGAGTTGGGGCTGGAAGGGCAGTCACTGTGTAAAACACATGCTGTATAACTTGGCGGTTCATTCCACTGTGGCGACCCCAGATTAATAAAGGGACTAAGCCAAAAATGAAATGAATGAATGGATAAAATGTACTACTGTAATTGCAATTATTTTTAATGAATGTTACAACATATTGCAGTGTATAACGGAAACTAGCTGTTGAGTTCAACGCAAAAGCCTCACTCCCCTATCCTCCTCCTTAGAGCAATCCTCCCATGCAGGAATCCCCGGATCGAACCCTGCTTGAAACGAGTATGTGCAGGGTGGTTGGAATACAATAAATGAAAATATTTTTGAATAGCTTGGATTTTACTACAGTCATCGGTGTTGTATAATATTCCTTATATGTAAAAAAAAAAGCTACATTAATTGGGTAATTTGTTTATATTACTATTGTTGTATTACTACATGATTGAGATGGTTAGTTGTGAACGTTTGACATTTTTGCAACACAGTGCTTTCCCACACTTTAAACAGCAGGGGTCCCCATCGAGCTCTGATTTGCAAAACTTCGAGTAATCAACATTTTTCAGATACAATTGAGTCAAACGGTTCACTGGTTGAGAAAGCTTCATTTCACCATCACTACCAGTATGTGACTGTCAGACATGGTCTATAATTATAACGAGATACTGTTTACCTAAATTTATCATCATCTCTGCTTTATAAAAAACTTAAAAATCAGCCTTTGAGCTTGATAGCCATGATAGTAGCACTGCATTTGCATAACAGTTTTCCTCTTAACTTTGACACTCAGTTATATAGAGGATGAAAAGGATTGATGACAATACACAGGGTTGTTGAAAAATAAAGAATTAATAACAAATAAACAATATGAAGGGAGAGATTTATTATAATTTATAACTTTTTATTCATGGAGCACTTGCTTTTCTTCAACTTTGATGACATTACAAATACTTATTTTATTTTTTACAGGCATTTGCAGCCAGAAATGGGAAGTTCGGTACTCAAAAACTGCAATATGTGTTTTAAAGGGTTCAACAATGCGTTTATCAGGCAGTTATAAACACCCAGATGGTCTCACTGTGACAGAGATATTTTGGACTGTAAACATAGAAAAAGGAAAAGCCATCAATCTGCTGAATAATCCAAATTACACAGGCAGAGTTGATTACTTTCAGATTGAGGAAATGTTTTTTCTCAAGCTCAGTAATGTGAGACATGAGGATGAAGGAATGTACTGCATCAGAATTGAGACAAAGGTAGAAAAACAGCAATTTCTGGGTTTTCCTGGGATTGAGCTCACAGTGACAGGTACAGTTGAACTCATTATGCACAGGCAGATTTAATCTGTTCAGTCATACTGTAATTGTGACACATTTCCCCTGTGTGTTCAGATCTCAGAGTGGAGACTCCTGCAGAGGTGGTTGAAGGAGATTCTCCAGTCTTAACTTGTAAAAGTTCCTGTAATCTCGGCAGCACAATCTTCATCTGGTATAAGAATGGCAAGTCTTTCTCAGAATCGGTGCGTCAGAATCAGCTGATTCTGCAGTCGGTCAGCAGTGAAGATTCTGGAAACTACAGCTGTGCAGTGAGAGATCTGAAAGATCTGCCGTCTCCTGCTCTCACGCTCAACATCAGATGTACGGCGAGACCTTCAGCTTCTCACTCTCCTCAGATTCACCACTGTCAAACTCACTGATGCTGATTGTTTTTCAGATCCTCCAAAGAGCGTCTCAGTGTCCGTCAGTGGATCTGCTGTAATAGAGTCTGGAGATTCAGTGACTCTGAGCTGCAGCAGCGACTCAAACCCTCCTGCTGTGAACTTCACCTGGTTTAAGGAGAATCAAAGCTCAGCTGTTGGATCAGGACAGAGTTTCAGCATCTCCAGCTTTAACTCCAGTCACAGTGGCCAATACTACTGCGAGGCTGAGAATAAATATGGCTCTCAGAGATCAGAGTCTGTTTCAGTCACTGTTAAAGGTGAGGATCATCATATCACTCTGCAGTCCAGCACTGGTTTACTGAAGCTAAGCAGGGTTGCGCCTAGTCAGAGACTGTATGGAAAAATGAAAGTTTGGGACACACCAAGCTGACGGTCGGCCATTGGGCTGTGTTGTGTTGTTTATAATGAGCATCTCTGATTTAAAACACATTTTTTGCTCTCTTCTGCACAGAAAGCGGCTCATTTTGGATCTCGATCACAGCAGGAATCGCTGCATCTGCTTTTGTGTTTGTTTTTATTGTCATCATAAGGTGAGAGAGACTCTGTACTTGAAGATTCAGAGTCAGTATGTGTTCATGATCATTTCCTCTTCTTCATTTCACAGGAAGCGAGTGACTCGGTCAGAAGAGCAAAACCACAGAGGATCACAACAACAACAACAACAAAAGCACAGTGCGGTATGTAAATCTCCTCACATGTGATTGGTCAGTGATGAGCGAATAATTAATCCTCTCATCATCGTCAGGTGGAGCCTCCTGAAGATCCCTACATGGCCCTTGACCCCAATTCCAGATGCTCTGAGTACGACACACTAGACGTGAGTCACTCTCTGTTTATCATCCACAGATATACATAGCAAATGATTTATTCTGATACATCTTTATTCATCATTCTGTAGAATTTGAAGAGATCCTGTGAAAACACAGACGACCGTGAAGATGATGGTTCCACATATTATAATATTGATCAATGATTATTCAAATAGTCACATCTTGACTTATTTCATGATTTACTTTACTTGTGAGATTTCCTTGATGCTGTTTTAAGTCTTTTTTTTTTAATTAAGTAGGGTATCTATAATTTACCTGTTCAGGTAAACTAAAGGCAGAATAGAGTAGTCTGGCTCTCTCAAGGTTTTTTTTCTTCACTCCCATCAGGTGAAGTTTTTTTCCCTCTCCGCTGTCGCCACTGCCTCGCATGGTTCAGGATTGGTAGAGCTACGCATCGATGAATTGGCTCTTCAGTGTTTGAACTCTCAGTAATGATTAAATCACACTGAACTGAGCTGAACTGAACTTAAACACTAAAACCTGAACCACACTGTTCCAGTTACTATGACCATTTATGTGAAGCTGCTTTGACACAATCTACATTGTAAAAGCGCTATACAAATAAAGCTGAATTGAATTGAACTGAACCATGACATCAATTTGTATGCAAAAACCTGGAAGCGAGTTAGCATTTTAGCAGTTCCGATTCCCTCGTCCCAAAGTCAATGGGTTTTTTGAATGGGATTTCAGTTTAATCGCTTAAATAAGGTTCGTGGCAAACACAAACTCAAGATACTTTCACAGTTTATTCTACAATATAAATTACATCAGTTACAGCACACTCCTGATTTTTAAAATCCGTAACTCTTTTTTAAAAAGACGGTTGCTATCAATTTGGTAAATGGGACTACAGGCGGTGTCGGAGACATTATATGTCACCCAGCTGAACTGGTCTGGAGCGAAGCTCGCCTGTGTTGGGTATTTGGAGTTAATCAAGTATTGTCATGAATAGTATTTTATAGTTTGTAGTATTTTTCTAATTGGTAATTCACATTGTGTGTAAATAATGCCTTCACTTGTAAAGACCGTCGAAACAGATTCATTTGTTGATCTATTTTAATCAAACTATATTATGCGGATACTGCTTACAGTGCAGCCTGTCTCTTCTCTGCTCTCATTAATGCAAACGTGTGAACAAATGTGTAAAAATACACACATATTAACTGTCACTTTACCGTGATCAATTGATTTTTAGTCAGGTTTTTTCTTCATCTGAACACATTTAACTCTGTCATGCTGTGTGCACGTGAACGATACACTTATTTAAATATGTCTTATGATAATACTATGTAGGCACAATTACACATACAGTTTTAAAACTTTTACATCAACCGTAACGCAAAACAAAATGTATTTCCCAGGTAAAAACTATCCAAAAGGCCTGTAGGTCTATACAGTGTTTGCGTATTTGTATTTGTTTATAATATATGGCTTTTGATAAAACAACCAAGAGAGTAAATCTTTGTCATGGACATTATTTCTAAAAATAAGCATGAAAAGTTGTCTGTAGCAGGGTGGTGCTGACGTCACAGGCGAGTGCCCTGAAGGCTCCGTAGTTTGTTTATAGCCTAATGTTAGCTTTTCAGCTCTTGCGTTTGCATTTAAGATCCAAAAGTGCTCAAAGTCATATTTTCATGCGTGGATTATCCGGCTTGACAAAACGTGCAAGTGTAATGAATGGTGTTTTTTGAAACGCTTTGGGTGTATGGCCATACACTGTAAATGCGCTATATAAATACACATCACATTACACTTGCACGTTTTGTCCAGCCGGATAATCTACATTGTTGTTTTTATTCACATGGCCGATGCAGTACATCTATTATTTCATACTAGCCACATTCCAAAACACATACTATTGCAACTTTAGAATTACAACCGATAGTTAGTGTACTCATTTTTACCGATTTATTGTTATGTTGAGTCGTTTGTAACATACACTGAAAAAAAATTCATTGGATTTACTCAATTTTTTTTTAAGGCAAGTGGTTGCATATATATGGGCTGAATTTAAACATAGTGATGTTCAACCTAATTTGTTTGTTTTAATTCAGCCCATATAAACTGTTTGCAACTAGTGTATATTTACAAAAAATGGTGTAAATCCACACACCGCCTTTAACACTCATCAAGAGTCATCATGCTGCAGGTATTAGGAGGCTTGCTGAAGGTTGCAGCTGAAATGCAGTGAGGAATTTGCATCTTTGATACACTATGACAGATCATATTAATTAAAGAGTAAGAATGATTCATATATCTATATTACAGATTTAAGTACTTCACAATATTAGGGTTCAAAAACACTGTATTTATTATAAAGTGCAATAGTATTTTTCTTGAACCGATGGTGTGAGTTTGAGTGGAACGAGTCTGTGGTTCCTCTTTTTCTCCTCATACTGGAAATGCTGACTAATATTTCATCATGCATGTTGCTTAGAACTATTACAATATAATCATCATCATAATCACCGTCATAATCAACATCAATAGAGGAATGAAGAGGTGATTTGAAGAAAGCTTTCAGTTGTGTTGATTAGGTGATTTTGATACAGTCTGTGCAGCTGAAGGAGGATTTCATACACATTTTTACTTTACAAAATAAAATTACAGCTGGTACACTGAAGAGGCAGAAGGATTATTATTTTACAGATAATACAACAGAGGTTATTTACTGAAGCAATCAAATATTGTTCACCGGCATTTCAACATGCTGCAGATTTTCACAACTTTTAGGAAAGCAGCACAATAAATGCAAAGAAAAAGAAGAAGAGGGACAATAAATGTGACGTCTTCAGAGGGTATTACAATATTAACATTTCAGTGTTGTCTCTTAAGAAATAATCTGGTGTGTGTGAGAGAGAGAAAGTGTGTGAATGACTATAAGGTGCCAGAGAGTTTAAATCAAACTTTGTTTAGCGCCACATATTTTCATTGCATATGAACTGATGAACATATTTCAACAAGAGAAATCGCTACAATTTACACAATATGCCAACAGTACATATTATTACAAGTAGAGAAGAAAAAATAACAGGCAGAGGAATACAAATAAATTAAAATTAAGGCAAAAGTATTAGGATAATAGAGTTTGCTTGTCAATTTAGAATGTACAGATAATATTAGAGATCCTGAGATAATTTTAGATTTACGTTTATTTAATTATTATTCAATATACACTATTATTGAACTTGTTAATGTACTTAAACACATACTTAAAACACATGAGAAATACCTTTAAATTACTTGAATGTACGTGTACACTATTGGATGTTCAGAACAATATATATTTACATACAGTCAGAATAATTCGCCCCCTTTGATTTTTTTTCGTTTTCTAAATATTTCCCAAGTGATATTTAACAGAGCAAGGAAATTTTCACAGTTTGTCTGATAATATTTTTTCTTCTGGAGAAAGTCTTATTTGTTTTATTTTGGCAAGAATAAAAGCAGTTTTTAATTTTTAAAAAGCTATTTTAAGGTCAATATTATTAGATCCTTTATTTTTTTTTATAATACAGAACAAACCATCATTATACAATAACCTGCCTAATTACCCTAACCTGCCTAGTTAAACTAATTAACCTAGTTAAGCCTTTAAATGTCACTAAGCTGTATAGAAGTGTCTTGAAAAATATCAAGTAAAATATTATTTACTGTCATCATGGCAAAGATAAAATGAATCAGTTATTAGAAATGAGTTATTAAAACTATTATGATTAGAAATGTGTTGAAATAATCTTCTCTTCGTTAAACAGAAATTGGGGAAAAAATAAACAGGGGGGCGAATAATTCTGACTTCAACTGTATATATATATATATATATATATATATATATATATATATATATATATATATATATATATATATATGAATACAATACGTGTGCACACTAATATAATTCACACCCATACATATGATAATGAATGCATATACACAATAGATTAACTTGCGTATAAACTTAATGCAAATGTAATTTAAATCCTTCCCTAAATCCCTCATAAATGACGCGTTTTCTAAACGTATTCTAATCACAGACTTTATAAAAACACATTCACTTGCCTTAAAAGAGAAGTGATTACATGCGCAATTGAACATTTTCCTGTCTAACTGAAGTAATGAGGAAAGACGGGAAGTGTGTTAACATGCAGAAATAAAAGTTCACCGCCCAGACTGTTCAACTGTCATGTTAATAAACAAACCCTGCAGGATACACTAAATCAAGGTAGGACAGTTCTCTAAATATTTGAAAATGGAATATTTTACACTATAGACAGTTTTTTTGTTGCTGTATTGATGAGGGGAAATTGATGTTTGAAACCGTCTGAAAACTATTCCCATGCACATAAAAGTAAAAGTAATTTAGTATAAATAGTGAGATTGAGGCATACTATGGTAACGCATTTGAATTAATCTGTTGTGGTAATTCTATAGTTGCTATGGTAACACAACTATTCGAATGCAAACAAATTACTCTATACTGTAATTTTCTACAACTATATATATATATATATATATATATATATATATATATATATATATATATATATATATATATATATATATATATATATATACACACACAAAAAACACTGAATCATTTATTTAACCCAATGGTTGAGTTAAACATATTTGGTGCTTTGTTGGGTTATTTTTTAACCTTTATTAGTTTGTTTATTAATAACTCAACCAATTAAGTTGAATATTTGGTGCTTTGTTGGGATATTTTTAACCCTTATTTGGTTATTTATTTAATAACTCAACCACATTCAACAGTCAACTGATTTAATTGACACAAAACAGCTAATATGCATGTTTAATGTTGTTTTTTTGTAATAAAGTTCATTTAAGCTATAATATATATATATATACATATATATATATATATATATATATATATATATATATATATATATATATATATATATATATATATATATATATATACATTTTTTTAAATCAAATTACCTCTCTGTGTTGTGTTTTTTTTAAAAATCCGTTTCACCATCCAAGACCATCTTTTAGAAGTGTTTGGATGTTGTTAAAATGTATTGTACTTATTGGACACTGAGTGAAGTCTGCTGCAGCTGCTGGACAACCTCTATAGCACACAGAGCTCCATATTCTGCTCCATCAACACAGGATACACAGTTTATAACTGTCTGCACTTTGTTCTGTTTCTTCAATGTTTGTGATTCCTAATTTATTTTAACAAAAGTTTCTGGAACTAAAATGTAATGGAAATAAATATATTTCAATATATATATATATTTAAAAGTATGTTATTTAGTTTACACAGCCATAATTATTAAATTAATAGTAGTGCTAACAATAGTAATACGAGAATGGAAAAAAAATAACATTTAATCAAAATAATCAATTCCATTGGATTAAATTATATAACTTAATGCATTGGGTTAAAATAACCCATAGTTGGGGAGGTGCTATAACAACCTATAGTTAGGTTATATGTTGGGGTATTTTTGACCCAACTATTTTAACAGAGTATATATATATATTTGCTATATAGATACATTTGATATATACTAAAGCATTCATTAACAAAGTGTTGTAAATACTAGAATATATAAAGTTTACTGTAGTATGTGGTTCAACAACACTATACTATGCATTATTCATTCATTAATTTTCTTTTTGGCTTAGTCCTTTTAGTAATCTGGGGTCGCCACAGCGGAATGAACCACCTATGTATTATAAATTACTTTATATATTTTTTCACATGGTTCATTTTAACTATGCTCTCTATTTTCTTCCAGAATGTTTTGTCTTTTTTCATTGTTTTTCCTGTTTGTGATTCAAGGTGAGTTCAACCTAAAACCTTTTTAATACTTATATATATATTTTATATATATATATATATATATATATATATATATATATTTATTTATTATTATTTTTTTTTTTACCATAAATTGATAAACAGTGACACAGAATGAAATGACAACATGTAAAGATGTGTACATCTCTGTGTTTTGCTTTCCAGGGTTTTGCAACCTAGAGCTGGAGGTTGTTTACACAAATACTGTAATATGTGCAATAAAGGGCTCAACAATGCATTTAACTGGCACCTTTAAGAACACAAGAAATTATAAAACAGAGATATTTTGGACTTTAACCCCAGTGAACATGACGGATGACACCAAACGGTTGGGTGACCCAGATTACAATGGCAGAATTCAGGAATTGCCGAACGGCAAAACACACACTATCAAACTCAGTCATTTGAGACATGAGGATGAAGGGAAGTACTGCCTCAGAGTCGTGACACGTGTAGAAATACAAGACTTACGGCCTTGTGCTGGGATTGAGCTCAGAGTGACAGGTACAGCTGAGCTAATATTACTTAAAGGGGAGCTATTATGCTAAAAATACTTTTTTTTGAGGGGTTGTGTTAGAAACAGGGTGTGAATATAAGCAGCTTCTAATGGTTAACAGATATTATTTTATTTCAGCTTTGTCTTTAGAAACACTTTGATTGACATTCTGCCTTTGTACGTGTCATCAGAGGGGGAAAGCCCCACCCACTACCCTAGTAGCAAAGAATTCTGGCCCAGATTTGGCATAAAGCTGGCACAGCAGGCATTCACTGGCATACAGCATGTGGGCCAAACATGGCCCGGGTTTGGCAGAGGTGGCACCGTCTTTAAGGCGGCACACAAGATTTGGGCCAGATGAAAAACGTAGTATTTGGCCCAGATTTAAAAATTTGATAAGTGGGCCATGTGAGTTTGGCCAGTCTTGTCCCACATTTAAAATACACTAAAATCATTTTTGGGTAAAGAAAAAAAATTCTACCTATCAGGTCACTTTGAGAAAAAGCGTGCCCATAGTGTGCATAAAGCACATCACTCCATGGGTTTATCAATTTCATTGCAATCGTGACACACCAACCTATCTGGCCCAGTTCAGGCCCAGTTATGAGTTATTAACTTGGCTGAGACTTGGCCCAGATATGGTCCGTGTTTGGCCCTTGTCTGGAAGCCAGATTTGGTCCAGTCATGTACTGTAATTCACTGCGGCATGTGGGCCAAGCAGAACCTGATTGTGTGGGCCAGAGCAGTTTTGCTATGTGGGTAGTGACCAGATCTCTCCGTCATTAGAATAGGACATTAGCAGGGGTGACCTTAACACCCGCCAACCCACCAAATGCGGGTAGATTTCGGTGGTGGCGGGTAAGACAGACACTCCCACTAACCACTTTGGCTGGTTGAAAATAATTTTCCCGGTAAATAATTCTTAAAAGCAGGGTTTGACAATAAAGATGATCCAATATGCATGCAAAGGCCATCTTAGAAATGAGAAGCAACACGACTGACAAACATAATTGCGTTCCCACCAGCAACAGAAAGCAGGTGAATACCGAATAAGAGGATAATCACTCGAGCTAACAGCTGATGTGGTGCGCGCGACTGTTTAAAACGTGTGCGCGCTCCCGTTTCCTTGCATGAAGCAACTGTATCTAGAAACACAACTGATTTGATCGGTTCTCTTTCAAATAGCCTTGACAAAAAATGATGCTCATGCACCCACAGTCTTGCTGCTTTCAAGAGTTTCAGATTAGTCTTTTTATATAAGCAGCACTGGTTGCTTTCGCTTTAACCATTCTTTGAACAGATGATTAATTAGTCAAACGTTAACATGGTGTGTGTGTCTGTGAGATCATCCTTTCATTATCACATGGTATGTTTTTTAATAGGGTTTATTTATCTTTTTTTTTTTTAAATAACATTGCTTTAATGGGGTATTAACTCCCTATTTATGTGTAGTTAACGGCTGGTCTGGGACCTTTAGCCAGAACATATGTGCATATGTTTTGTTAGATAAAAAGTAAAGTATACAGCTATATTTCGCTTGTTTTGATACATTTAAACTTTGTGGCTAAGAAATAGTTAATTATTTATGTTTGGTGTGGTCAGAGATAAATTTGGTAAATCTTTCATTTTTCATTGGAAAGTATGGGAATTAATAACTTTTTTTATTTTTTTTATTGCATCATAACACAATTACAATAAGGCAAAATTTGAATAACAACTATTATCTACATTTATAGAATAGAGCACAAATAATAAAGTCAATAACATAGTAAATTAAAATGAAAAAAAGTTACTTAAACCAGAGAAAAAAGAAAAAAACAAACAAAAAAAAAACATTTACATCGGGTCTTCTATTAATTTAAAATTTTTCAATAGACTAAAGAGTCTTCTTCCACATTTTGATTTTATGAGCTGTAAAGATTTACAGTATAGCCAAAATTCCTTTTGGAAAACTAAAAACAGTGGTTTGGTTTTAAGGCACTTGCATTTATGAATATAAAATTTTCCAAAAATTAAAATATTGTTCAATACAAATTAAATATTAACATCTTTCCCTAATAAACCAAATAAAATATCATTTTTAGAAAATTGGGAGGACAACTTGAGAGAAATCTTCAACCATTCGAATAAATCAGACCAAAAGGTTCTGCTATATAAACATTCAAAAAATAAATGTGCAGTCGATTCAATGTCAATCTCACAGAATGTACAGTTGTTGTGATCAAGGTTAAATCTATGTCTAAGAAACTCTGAAGATGGGTAAATATCATTAAAATTTTAAAATTTACTTCTTTAGCTTTGGGAGGTATTGGGAAGGAAAGAGACATTGTTCTTAATTCGGTAATAGAGCTCTTGGAAAAAAGAAAAGAGATATTATTTCTATCAGCTTGTATTGGAAATTTATCTTGGGTTAATATCGATCTTATTTTATTGGGTATTTCACTCCGAATAAAATCTTGTCCATTTATCAACAAACAAGGCAGATGAAGTGTGTAATTTATATTGGAAACCACATTACTAACCATCGCTAGAAATGCCTTCGGAATAGATTTTAATACCCTAGTGTATTGCTTATGATCACATTCAAAGTTAGATTTTTCACAAAAATGGGAAATAATAACTAATTGTAATACTATGAAACCCTGACCCATTTGTTCATGATTATTGAGCAAGCTCATACATGACACACAAAGTAAAATGAATGAGGCATGTGGAGATAACGCAAACTCTAAATCAAGTAATTTTAGCATGTCAAAGTCATATTTATGTGAATAAAATATATTTTTTCTAACAATAAAAGTGTGGCTAGTGAAAATGCAGAGTGGCTAGTAATGTTGGAAAACTACTAGCCACAGTGGCCGGTGATCAAAAAGGTTATTGTCAAACCCTGAACATAGTGTTGTTTTTTAATCTGCCACTATGCTGACACACAGGCATTTGTAGCTCCGCCCACTTTTGAAAAGGGCACAATCTCATTTAAATTTAAAGCGACAGTCACTAAAATGCCACAATTAGGATCAAACCTGAAAGCGTTAGTTCAGAGGGTTATAAAACAGTATTTGTGTGGTATTTTGAGCTGAACTTCAAACACACACACACATACACACTCTAGGGACATCAGAGACTTGTTTTACATTATGTAAATAGGCACATAATAGGTTCTGTTTACTTCAATTTAATTCTGTTCAGTCATGTACAGTAAACGTGACCCATTTCCCCTGTGTTTTCAGATCTCAGAGTGGAGACTCCTGCAGAGGTTGTTGAAGGAGATTCTCCAGTCTTAACTTGTAAAAGCTCCTGCAATCTCGGCAGCTCAATCTTCAGCTGGTATAGAAACGGCGAGTCTTTCTCAGAATCGGTGCGTCAGAATCAGCTGATTCTGCAGTCGGTCAGCAGAGAAGATTCTGGAAACTACAGCTGTGCAGTAAGAGATCTGAAAAATCTGCCGTCTCCTGCTCTCACACTCAACGTCAGATGTACGGCGAGACCTTCAGCTTCTCACTCTCCTCAGATTCACCACTGTCAAACTCACTGATGGTTATTATTTTTCAGATCCTCCAAAGAGCGTCTCAGTGTCCGTCAGTGGATCTGCTGTAATAGTGTCTGGAGATTCAGTGACTCTGAGCTGCAGCAGTGACTCAAACCCTCCTGCACTGAACTTCACCTGGTTTAAGGAGAATCAGAGCTTGGCTGTTGGATCTGGACAGAGTTTCAGCATCTCCAGCTTTAACTCCAGTCACAGTGGACGATACTACTGTAAGGCGCACAATAAATATGGCTCTCAGAGATCAGAGTCTATTTCAGTCACTGTTGAAGGTGAGGATCATCGTGAGGTCAGTGTGTGTTTATAATGAGCGTCTCTTATTAAAAGCACTGACTTTTCTCTGGTCTGCACAGAAAGCAGCTCATCTTGGGTCTTGATCACAGCAGGAGTCACTGCAGCTGCTTTTGTGATGTTTGTAATTCTGATGGTTTTCATATTGATCAGAAGGTGAGTGTTTAAACTGTACAAATTCAGCCCAGGATCATTGAAAGATTTTGCCTTAAGGCTGGCTTACACTGTGTGATTTTGTTATAATCCTGATCAATTGTAGCATGTCAGACTGCACAAACATGGTTCCCATGTCACACTGTAAGATCTCAGCTATCAAAAGGTGCGTTCGACATGAAGTACAGCTGCAGCCGGTGATCAGCGAGATTAGCCAATCGCAGGTGGGGGCGGAGTTTAAAAACGCCGTCAAGCTGGACACTTCGGAACTTTATGATGACCGATCACATGGCCTGATCATTTATTTATTTATTTATTGCAATAACAACAAAATATTTACAGTAAAAATAAAACAGAATACAGTCCCTACAAACTATAGTTCATTTTTAAACAATACGGGAATTATAAATTAAATTTAAGTAGCCTATAAAACAAACGCATGACAAATAACGAGAAACGAGAGGGAAAAACGAGAGAGCACATAAAAAAATAAATAATTATTCACGAATAGGGTTATTTTGGATAATAAAAGCATTTAAAAAAAGCACTTTAATCCAAAAAGATTGAACAAAAGGATCAAAATAAATGAGCTACACTTTAAGTAGAAATTTCCTAGAAAGAGCAGGTACATCAATGTCACTTTTAAAATTTCTGCATAAACGGCTTGACAGAAGATAACATATTTTATAATCATATAGTTTTATATTTAATACAATATTATACAATACTTAAAAGCCTAATTTGTTAGGACATTTTTACATGGGTGTCAGGATCAATGATGATAATTATTTTATTATAAGTCTGTAAGACTTATTTGAGTTAATATTTAGGTTATTTACTACAATATATCATTTAAATCATATATAGAGCTGAATACAGTTGTCTGTATAAAAAGGCCAAAAAAAAAACAGTGCAAACAATCCCTTATAAACAAATTATTTAACAGAAGATGATACTGCAGTAAAATATTTGTAGTCTTTTAATAAGCATGACGTGTACAAGATAGAAAGGGTATGAAAAGTGATTTGTTTGTTTTGAAATTTCTGGATGGGAATTTGTCCAATAATAAACCCAAATCACTCGTGGTTGTTGTCATGCAGTGAACTTGGCTAATCGTGTAATTTCGGTGTCATCATCTCAGCTCCAGCAGTCGCTCTTCAGATGCTGCACCGGCTGAATCAATCGATTTTGATCGATCTGCGCAGCACTGCATGAAGTCGAACGCACCTATAAAGTCAGACTGAACGACTGAAGATGCCCCAAACACGGAAGAAACTCTTCAGAGTTTGACGTCATCTAACTGTGACACTTTCACACCCCTACATTCTGAAATGATTCCTCACAGCAAACGTAAACAATCTGTAAGGGCAGTTTTGCACACAGCATGTCTTAATCATAAAATCAGGAAGAAATTAAATGTTTTGACATTTCCCCGTGGTCTTTTGAATTGTCGCATGGATTGCGTCATCAAATTCTGAGCTCCTATTGGTTCTTGGATTGACGCTCATCACAGCTGTTGTCTGAAATCTTCAGACACTGCCAGAACTTCATCAGAGGAAAAATCTGATCGCGACAGGCTATCTGTGAACATGTCAAAACAATGATCAAAGATCACAGATTTTAGCCTAGGATTTCAGGAATCTTTTAAAATTCCTCAAATCTGTCTCAGATGACAAAATTGTGGCTGGAATCTCACAGTGTGAGCAGGGCTTTAGTCTACATTTTTGCTCAACGTTTCTAAACATCTTTCACAGGAAGCGAGTGACTCCATCAGAAGAGCAAAACCACAGAGGAAGTGGTAAAACGGTATGTAAATCACCTCTTGTGTGATTGGTCAGTGATGAGCGAATAATTAATCCTCTCATCATTGTCAGGTGGAGTCTCCTGAAAACCTCTACATGACTCTTGACCCCAAGTCCAGATGCTCTGAATACGACACACTGGATGTGAGTTACTCTGCTGGCTCTGTTTATCATCTACAGATATAACATCTGATCTTATCATGCTCTTAGTTTAGTTTAAACTTTATTGTCGGTTCTGCTTGACACAGAAAGGAAATTTTTTTTCAACACTGGATTTAGGACAACAATTACAAACATACAACAACGACACACTAGCCCCTTTCACACAGTGATACCGGTAAATATCCGGAACATTTCCGGAACTACTTTACCGGTATATTCAAAATAACGCTGTTCACACAGGCGAGGACGTTACGGAATTTTTCCGGAAAAGAGCATTCACACATCCATCGCAAAATACTGGTAAATTCTGACATCATTAACCAGAAATGACCTCTAAACGGCTGCGCTTGTGTTTGTAAACATTTGACTACATCACAAACTCTTCGGATGGATCAGTATTGAGTACAACTCTAATGAAAACATAGGGTAACACTTTCGCATGTCGAGATGTTCATGATATGTGTGTGTGCTGGCGCTATGGGCGCTCACGGGCACACGCAAAGCTTGAAGGTAAACAAACAACGGCTTATCATAAACATTTTATCGATAATTATTTACACAGCATTAAGAAGGAACATAGAAATATTATCTGACTAACATTTAGCAGCTAAAGGTGTCTGGAAAAAAATATTCAAAGGCTTTTATTCTCATAAACCGCGCGCACGTGAATGCGTCTGACTGTTCTGATTGGCTAAAGCAGGTGTGTCACGTCAGCCCGTTCTAGACGTGGACGCGCTTATTACGGCAATCTTCCTTCTGCATTCACACAGCGCAGCATTCCGGCAAATTACCGGTAATGTTACAACTTCTCTTTCCGGAAAATAGCCAGAACGAATTTACCGGTATTTTCAAAAAGGGCCTGTTCACACATACAACCTTTCCGGAAAATTGCCGGTAATTTTCCGGAAAGGTCTGTATGTGTGAAAGGGGCTAATAACACTTATCAACACAACAACATAAGTTCAAAGTTTAAAAACCAAATTAGCGCCATGCACAATACTGCAAATCATACTTGGTAACCACCTCATTCACTACAAACATTGATCCGGTTTAGAACAACAACTGCCACTGGGATAAATGACCTTTTATAGGCATTTCTTCGTGCTTTAGGAATTCTAAACCTGCGTCCTGATGGTAGCAATTCAAATGCTGAGCAAAGGGGATGTGTATTATCTTTAAAAATCACAACTGCTCTTTTTTTCCATAAAAGAGTCAAATAAAATCTGCAATGAATGCTGTTTGCGACCAGTTATCTTATTTGCCTGATTGATAATTTGCGCTAATTTCTTTTTCTGTTTAAGTGTTGTGTTACCGAACCATGAAACAATATTATATGTGAGAACACTCTCTATAAGTGATCTATATGCCAAGTTTAAAGTCTGTGTACTAACATTAAAACTTCTCAATTTGCGGAGGAGATAGAGGCGCTGATTTGCTTTCTTATAAACCGCCTCTACATTACTATTAAAATTCAATTTATTGTCAATTTATTGTTTAATTGTCAATCTCTTTAATATCTCCAGATTATGAAGAGATCCTGTGAAAACACAGACATCCCTGAAGGACAGGACCCAGTTTATCATAACATTGGCAAATGAATGTCAAACTTTCATTTAATTTAAAAACACTGTGGAAAAAAAAATCTTTTGTTAATTTAAAAACACTGTGGAAACCTTCAAACACTCAAATCCATCAATCTAGTTTATATTTATATTTAGAAATAAAAAAAAATGCTGGATCACTTTTGCATTCATTTATTAGTTTTCCTTCTGCTTAGTCCTTTTATTCTTCAGGGGTCGCCACAGCGGAATGAACCGCCAACTATTCCAGCATATGTTTTACCCAGCAGATGCCCTTCCAGCTGCAACCCAGTACTTGGAAACACTCATACACTCTCACATTCACACACACATACACTGCGGCCAATTTAGTTCATCAATTCCCATATACCACATGTCTTTATTGTGGGGGAAACCGGAGCACCCAGAGGAAACCTACGCCAACACGGTGAGAACATGCAAACTCCACACAGAAATGCCAACTGGCCCAGCCAGGACTTGAACCAGAATCTTCCACTGAGCCACCGTGCCGCCTAGGCTAATAATAATAGTAGTTTTATTCCAATCACAGTCTATAAAGAGGAATTAATAAATCGTCAGATCCTCATGTTTTTATTTTGCATGCTACTTTAATTAATATCTATTTATATGACATGCTTGTTAATGTTTTTACACGAGTGCATGTTGGACGTTTCTCAGAAAAGAGAGGAAGCTGATGTTTAGAAGTGCTATGTTCCTCGAGTGACACACTGACCTAAGTTTTCATCATCGTTAAGTAGGCACATATCTACGCAAATTAAGTATACATACAGCACAATCGTGCGAGGATTAAGATAATTCTCGCCAACTCTTTTATAAATATTTGGGGAATTCAAACATACCTAATCCCTCCTCTACTGCTTTTAGCATACCTAATAGTAGGGAAGTACGCTGTTTCGAACACAGCCTAGGTGTGGTGTGTGATGATAGCAGGCCTTCTGCACTTCCTCTTTCTCTCCTTTGTGTGGATGTTCCTGTGCGTGATTGGAGATCTGCTTCCTCCGGTTGTGGCGTGCGTGTCTAGAGGGCAGCGAACAATCAATTAGTGATATTGTTTATGAATGGAAAATCGTTGCATTTATTTAATCACAAATACAGAACAAATTGTAAAAGGTTATTGCACTATAAAATAACTGTTAAAAAAGTAGTTTATAATTTAATTAATTCATTTATTGCGGTGATTTTAATTGAATTGAATGTTCAGCTTCATTAGTCCAGTCTTCAGTCACATGATTCTACAGAAATTACTCTAATATTATTTATTATTGCTATTAGGATTATTAATTTTATGATTATTAATGGTAAAAGTAATAAAAGCAATAAGTATAGTGTTTTTTAAAAATAGTGTCCCAAAAGCAGTTCAGCTTTATACAAGACCAAAACATGTGCATCAGTGGCTGAGGGGGAATAACAGCGATTACAAGCAGGATGTATATGCTGAAAGTGCTTTGAGAGCTTTAGGTTTGTCCAGTGTACACAATGTACAGTTCAACACTGCAGGAGTCCATGTCTTGCACAGTGAATACGGCATAAGACTGATTCCCAAAATTTGAGGGTGTCCTCCATAATGCGTCTTTTAAATTTTGACGAGTGAATATTTACAAACATATTTTCAATTTGTAGGATGAGAGAGTTTTATCTGTGAACTGGATTCACATTTATAAGTAAACTATACAAATATAACAGTGAACAGCTGATGACTCAAATTCACAATGAGTCCAAAATGATGGCTTGTGTATTAAAGCATGTGAATGATTCATTTTTCCTTTCAGGTTCTCTTTTTAATGTTTTTAAAATAAAATAAAATTAAGGTCCTAATAAACAATGTAATGTATATGTTGTGTTTGTGAAGGCCTTTGTGAGATTACACTGTTTTGTATACAATTTGAAATTCAAATGTATATTTGAATTTAAGGAAACTGTGCATACGAGATATTTCCCCATTAGGATGATTACAGTAAAGACCACAGCACGCAAATGTTTGGTTTGTTAGGCGGTCAACTGTTTCAGGTGAAGACCACTGCTTTCAGCTCATATCAGGTAAGATCTTTCTGCTCTTAAAAATGATGTTGTTAAATCATATAAATCATGAAGTGGTTGTGTGGTTTGTGTGTAGTTGGATTTGGTTGAGTAGTTTGGGCTTTGAGCAGGTCAGGACTCTTATGAAAATCGAAATCATTTAAAATCATCAAATGTAAATTAATAAATGCAGTGGAGTATTTTTCTTGTGTGTGTGTGTGTGTATGTTTTTATATCCTAGTGGGGACTTAAAGTTAAATGCACAGACTCACGGGAACATAAATTGACAGGGTAACTGCAGGGTGCTAAAAGTCTTACATTTCAAAATCAAAATTGTAGGTCTTAAATTCACTGAAATATAGTGTTGTAGGTCTTGAAACATTTTAAACAGGTCTTAATTTTCCTATGTCCACGCAACGCTACCCAATCAGACCCATTTAATCAATCAGACCCATCTCAATAAAAGTTTTAACACACGTTTATTTATCAACTCTATTTACCAATATACTTAAATTATCTTCCTAACAATATTATTCGTTTTTAATGGTTTTTAATGTTTTAACTGGGCCTTTAGAAAAGCATTTAACTTTGTGTAAGTCTGAAATTTCATTGTTAATGGTCTTAGAAAGGTCTTAGGTCTTAAATTAGACTTGATGAAACCTGCAGAAATCCTGACTGAGGTCCACTCAGGCTTACAAATCATACAGAATAATGTATGTTGAAAATGTACAAATGGATTGCTTCTGTGATGGCAATAAAAGCTTAACAAATCTTTATTTTTTTGTGTATGTTGTTGTTTATCATGCATTATAGCCAGTCCTAATTGTTTTTTCTCTGAACTGTGAAGGAAACTCATCTTCTGGACTGATTAGTGGATGAACAGAAACACATCAGACTGTCATAATTGACAATGGCCTGCATAATTCTGTTTAAAGGTAAGATTATTTCTCATAGTTCAAAACTCTTGACTTTACCTGAGTTTATATAATAAATTTAGATTTCACATTTTCAAATTGCAGCACAATTTAATTCAGTATCATTTGTGTTTTTCCTATTTTAGGATTTATAAAAGCTCTGAGTACCATCTCTGTTATAATGCGTATGTATAACAGTTTTTAAGCTTCACTATGATGTTGACACTTCATGCATGTTGATTGATCTCACACACGTTTACTGTTTAAATGCAATAAAGGTGTGTATGTGATGTATAAATGAATGTCTTTGAGTCAGAGCTACAGTAACACAATCTGTATTTGCTTTGGATAAAAGTCACTAGCAGGTTTAAAAAATATTTAAGTCAAATTTCATAAAACCCCAAATGTATCAGCAGTCACGGGCGTTGCTATGCCTATTTTGGGGGGGGGGGGGGGCTGTAGACAGACTTATCTACGCTTGATGCTCCTTGCTGAAATGTCCTTCCCACGGCCTCCTTCCACAGCCCGATCCACTGGCTAATAATCGCGCCGATCCCCCAGCAGGAAGTCGATGCTCACGTTCCATGTCACCAATAAACAGACTGCAAAGCAAACCTGAGGCAGGCCACCTGGAAAGGAGGACTGTCCTTTCCTCAGTGGAGGGCCGGGGAATCCCCCTCTTGATGAATGCAGCATGCTGTTTGTGGCCGATGGTATCCAAGAAAGAGCGGTTTCTCCTCGCTCCGGGTGTCAAAGCCCAACGCTGATAGCATGGGATGCGCTGCCTTCCAGCTTGCAACCTTTGTGCACATCGCCAAAGGGTCCGAGGGCATCAGAGGGCGAGCTCTTTTCTCTTGCAACTCTAGCTGCTTCACACAATCTTACATTGAGATTGAAGGTAAGAGTTAATCTCAACTTTTTTTTGGGACGCATCACTTTCCAGGGTGAACACTTCCCATCCCGAAGCTGCCCCACCGTGCGTGCGCCTGTGCTCGTTCCAGTGATGCTGCTTGTTTGGGCTCTGTCAGCCTGACTTGGCAATGCGATTCAATTAGCCATCAGCCTCCCCTGTTCACGGGTGAGTATTTCACAGCGGTCATCGACCCTGTGCCCCTGTCTTAAGCAAAGAGATTGTTGTCCTCCTGGCAAATGATGCAATCAAGCCAGTCTCTCCAGCTGAGAAGAAGAGTGGGTTTTATGCCCGTACTTCATCGTACCCAAAGAGCCATGGATTTTAACCAATGCACCGGGTGACCATCCCCCCGCTGTGTCACCACACCTTCAGTCCTTGGATGAACCTTGCCTTCTATGAGCCTTGATGCCCTTGAGAACAAGTTTCCAGTCATGGAAACTCGGTCTCCAGCTCCAGCTTCAAATCTGAAGCACTCTCTTAGGTGCTGGTTATACTGTACTAATGATTAATCACTGGCACCTGTGGAGCTAGGGCGAGGCAGTGGCGCAGTAGGTAGTGCTGTCGCCTCACAGCAAGAAGGTCGCCGGGTCGCTGGTTCGAGCCTAGGCTCAGTTGGCATTTCTGTGTGGAGTTCGCATGTTCTCCCTGCCTTCGCGTGGGTTTCCTCTGGGTGCTCCGGTTTCCCCCACAGTCCAAAGACATGCTGTACAGGTGAATTGGGTAGGCTTAATAGTCGGTAGTGTGTGTGTGTGAATGTGTGCGTGGATGTTTCCCAGAGATGGGTTGCGGCTGGAAGGGCATCCGCTGCGTAAAAACTTGCTGGATAAGTTGGTTCATTCCGCTGTGGTGACCCCGGATTAATAAAGGGACTAAGCCGACAAGAAAATGAATGAATGAACCTGTGGAGCTGTGCTCTGCCAACTCACAGGCATTCATTGGCCAGTTTCCATATTTTAAATTTCTGTAATTTCCGAGAGGTCATATTTCATCGATTGGTCTCACACAGTCATGTGATGCGATTTCATTGGTCGGAGTTCACCAAGCTCAAACTTTCTAACGTAGCAACCTGTAAAACTGTTTTTGCATTTATGGTCTGTTGCATTCGCAAGCGTATGAATGGATGTCTCTGGGAAGTTTATGGGATTTACTCTTCAGAGAGTAAAACTGGTCACCTATCTATGACACATGTCTCCATGTAACCAGGATGTTATTCACCATCATGTCATTCAAAAATAGTACATCTCTAATATCAATGAAGTATGCAATGAAGGAATTCTGAAGGAAGGAAGCCTGCTTGTCTATTCATTTAATGTGTCATTTTTAATATAAATTTGTTTTTCAGAAGTTTCCACACTTATCTTGGCCTTTATAATGGTTACACCAGTGATGACCACAGCTGGTAATGTACTATACTCTTGTCTGGTGTGTTTTTAAGTGAATATAGATTTATTTATCTTGTTTTTCTCAATGCATTAGTCATAATTCCTGCTGTTTCAGTAACTCTGATTGACAGTTTTCTGAGCACCTCATGTCTGATCCCTCAATTACTGACACATTGAATATCGTCTATAGTTAAATACTGAATACCGTCATTATTGTGCAATCATTGGTTAGTTGGTGAGGCAGAGCACAGCGTCAGGATTACAGGAGTCTACATTTCTAGTATTAACAAAATAATTATTAATAACAAAGAAAATGTTGTTACTATTAAGAAACGTGTATTTAGAATTTCAGCTGTTAATATATGATATCTGTAATTATATTAACCGTATTAGTGCCTTTGAACGTGAATATATAATATGTATAATAACAATATGAAAAAATTGGGAAAAAATTATTAGGTTTCTCCATTAAAAAACTATACATAACTACAAAAAAAGCAAACTTAGAATACAGAAATATCCTTTTCCAAAGTGATATTCAAATAAGCTGATTTTCTAATAATATTTGTTCATTCCTGCCTCAGGTTGTTGCTCTGAGACTCGTCATGTTTAATCTTTACTTTAGTTTAGTAGTTTGTCTTTTTCTTGTCTGAGACACACTGATATTAAAAACAATCCTGTAACTGCATTATAAAGAATACAAATGTACTGTAAATAAACTGACAGAATTTAATATTTTGTTAAGCTTTATAATTTGTGAATTGTTAAACTTTATTCATTGTGAGTTGTCCTTACCAGTTCTAGATGATTTTTATTAAATTATGCTGATTTCTTTTTTAATATGTATGTGTTATAACAGCTAATCTGACTGACCCCTGCAACAACTACACTGTGCTGAATGACGCATGGAGATCCGTCAATAATACATATAACACCTACTGTGACCAGTCAGTCTCCTGGAGCGGCTGGTATCGGCTCTTCATTAACGGTCTGAGTGCTCATATCCCAGACACATGTGTTGCAATGTCTAGATGTGGCACTTCTTTCCCACTGTGGATTCGTGGTGGACACCCAACAGTACAGGATGGAGTCGTCACTCGAGATGTCTGCGCTAACGCTTACACTTACTGCTGCTTTTACGGCTCTTATCCAATTCGAGTCAAAGCCTGTCCAGGAAATTATTATGTCTATGAGCTGCTTAAACCAACTATCTGTAATTTAGCCTACTGTGCAGGTAACTATATTCACATCAGCTCTTTCTACACATTCATGATATTTGTGTGTGTTTCTGATTAAGGATCATAATTAAGAGGATGCAAGCATTTTAATGTTTAAAGATGATTAAGTTGGTCAGTATAGTCATATATCTAGTGTTTTCATCACATTCATGGAGTTTGACTGTTCATAATGTTTTATTGATGTACATTTTCAGATGTTGGCAGTGTTATCATCAGCTCTACAGCCGCCACACCAGTGGTCGTCACACCTGGTAAAGAAACACTGCTGACTTTCAGTCAATAACTAATAATAATGATTAAACATTAATAATACAAATTATTATTAAGCATCTTTCCAACAGATGAACAATAAAAAAAGTTTGACAGGAGTGTTCAGTCATTAGAAGTTGTATTGCTATATCTGGCCCTCGTGCAATGTTTAAATTTACTACGGCTTTGTTGTGTTAGGGATGAAAACATCCACTAAATTAAACTGCTGGAAAATTGCATCAGATAAATCTTTTTTTTTTCTTCAAAATTATTATTATTTTTTGCATAACTCTGTTAATCAACCTTAGTCCTTGTAACGCCACGCCAGCAGAGGGAGATGTATTTCTGCCGTATTTTCAGCTATTTTCTAAACAGCCGAGCCTCCCAATACGCAAACCTGACGCAAACCCATACCGCCGGACCACCAGGGGTCGCCTCATGCTTTAAAACGGGAGTCTTCTGTGCTTTCGCTTTGTTTAGGAATGAAAACACTAATAAATAAAAATGGCGCGACTCCATTTCCTTTTGATTACAGGTGCCGTCAATAAAAAAAAAGTTATTATTTCCCATTCTTTCCAGAGCTCAAAATGAAAGATTTACCAAATTTATCTCTGACCACACCAAACATAAATAATTAACTATTTCTTAGCCACAAAGTTTAAAGGTATCAAAATAAGCGAAATATAGCTGTATACTTTACTTTTTATCTAACAAAACATATGCACATATGTTCTGGCTAAAGGTCCCAGACCAGCCGTTAACTACACATAAATAGGGAGTTAATACCCCATTAAAGCAATGTTATTGGGAAAAAAAGATGAATAAACCCTATTAAAAACATACCATGTGATAATGAAAGGTAAGGTGATAATAAATATATTATATTTAAATAAAGTATTCATATATATATATATATATATATATATATATATATTTACTAAATATAAATATAAACGATAAATGATCCTAAATAAAACAAATACATGTATAGAGATGGTATATAAGTATATAACTTTACTCACATGGGAAACGGAGGCCACGTGAATGGTTTGTGAGCACAATTAAGTTCACTCAGCATGCCAAGCCATCTGATAATTGTAGGAAACAATTGTAGGAAGTCCAAAAGGCAGTTGACGGTGTAAAGCCACATAAAACAACACAGAAATACGATAAATATGCCGAGATCAGTGGCTAATCTGCAGGATTCAGCTGAGGTGACGTGACGGCGACCAACGAGACCTAGCTGTCACTCAAGTGGCCACGCCCTTAATTATGCAAACTTAATATAACTTAATATAAAGGAAACGGATGAGTTATAAAAAAATTCACCCCCTCACAGTTGTCATGAAGGGTAATATTAGCTGTATTAACCAAAATCTTTTTTGTAGCAGGCTGTAAACACCTTTTTTTCTGCTGTAGAGTTGGCCATTCTAACAGTGGGCTCAATTGAAATTTGCTCTGTCTTGGAGCCAGGAGCGGCCAGGACTAGCGGAATTTCGGATGAATTGCAGTTTTAGTTACTTCCGTATTGGCTTCCTGAGGGAGAGCGGGAGGTTGCTGCTTGGAAGCAACTAACAAAAATGTTTGTTTATAATTTTTGGCTTAAGAGTAAATAAAACAGATATGCAGTTGTTAACTTCAATAATGTGCTATTGGATTTAAAAATACATATATCATTTTTAAAAGGCTATATTCACTACTATATTCGTATTCACTAATTTTATAAATACATCTATATTAAGCATAAATCATATTTCCACTCGTGGTCAGAACAGTGCTCATAGTGTGTTTAAATTGTAAATGCTGCTTCATTAAGAGTCTGATGATGAGCTGCTGTGAAGGAAGCCTTCATTTTCTCTGAAATGAATCAGACAGAGCTGATTGGCTAGATTAAAAAAAACATGTGACTGGATAATGAGGACATCGACTTTAGATCATTTTAAATATGAAGACCGCCTAAAACAGAAATTTAAGGTGATTCACGAACATGTGAGTGTGCAAATGCAGGAGATTTAAAATGTGAAATGAACGCAAATGAGGTTGAGCATTAGGAATTAGTGTTTTGGGAACATTAATATTAAGACTGTGATTTTATTCTCTTATTTATGGTTCATTTTTTTTTAGATCCCTGTTACACCTACACTGTGCTGGACGATCCATGGAGAGCCAACAGCAGTCAGAAATCAGGCATCTACAAGCGTGACATTTTTGTCTACTGGAGCGGCTGGTATCGGCTCTTCATTAACGGTCTGAGCGCTCATATCCCAGACACATGTGTTGCAGTCTATAGCTGTGGCACTCTTATCCCACTGTGGATTCGTGGTGGACACCCAACAGTAAAGGATGGAGTCGTCACTCGAGATGTCTGCGGTAATGATGGCAGCGGTTACTGCTGCTATTTTGGCTCTTTTTCTATTCGAGTGAAGGCCTGTCCAGGAAATTATTATGTCTATGAGCTGCGCAGTCCATCTTTGGAATCTTCAGTCTACTGTGCAGGTAATAATATTCACATCAGTTCTTTTACACATTCATTATATCTGTGTCTCTGGTTATTTGTCTATTACTAAAGATAGTTGTTTCCATTGGAAACAACAAACTTGTGCAGACTGTAGAAATACGCGATATACGAATGGCCTCTAAAAGGCCGCCGTCATTTGCAATCTCCAGCAGTTGATTTTCTTGCACAGCCATGGTGGATTCACCTGATTTGTTTACAAGTAGGTTGCGGATCTATTCCTTGGCAGTATGCGGGTCGTTCAATGGGCCTTTTCCCCTACACAAAGAAACTTTCCAAAGACGTCTGTTTCTTACTCATTTTGCTGCTTGTGAGTTAAATTTGGGCGCAAAAGTGATTAAAATGTGAGCGATCATTTTTCAAAATAAAAGACTTTTCATAATAAATGATTGTTCAGACTCGGATAATAAATAAAACAGAAATAATTAATGATTTCTTGTGCGGCGCGGTACCAATTAATCCACGGACCGGTGGTTGAGGACCACTGAGCTAGGGGATAAAATGAATTAAGGCAACATGATCATCATAATCCGTCTTTCGGATGAGACGTTAAACCGAGGTCCTGACTCTCTGTGGTCATTAAAAATCACTTCTCGTGAAAGAGCAGGGATGTAACCCCGGTGTCCTGGCCAAAGTCCCTCTATCGGTCCTTACGATCATGGCCTCCCAATCATCCCTTTCCATCGAATTGGCTCTATCACTGTCTCTCTACTCCACCAATAGCTGGTGTGTGTTGAGCACACTGGCGCCGTTGTCCTGTGGCTGCCGTCACATCATCCAAGTGGATGCTGCACACTGGTGGTGGTGTGGAGAGACCCCCCTCATGATTGTCAAGCGCTTTGGGTGTATGGCCATACACAATAAATGCGCTATATAAATACACATTACATTACATTCTCCTAATTTTCCACTGCAGAGCTCGCTGAAGTCACCTTGTGGGCTGTGAACTCCCTGTTGGGAATCGCTGAGCTAAAGCACCTAAATGTTATTTATAGTAAGAGGCATCGTATCCTTGCTATCTGTAGTAAATCAGTCTGGTCTTTAACCATTTACTGAAATCTGTTAGAAATACTTATTTCTGCTTTGTGTATGCATTTTGGTTCTATTAATGTAATTCGCAGATGATCCCAACCTTAAATATCAAACCTTAAACCAACTTTCCTGAGCTCTAGGAGGTGATTGGTTTTCTAAAGTATTTCCCATTTCACGCTCCAGGGCTTGTGTAGCTTCCCGAAGCAGCTGAGGAACAGACTTCGGCATGTTTATGCTGCCAATTGTCAAATAGTCCTAGCTGCAGCCGTGACGAGAAAATGTAATACCCGCCATGCAGCAACGGCCGAAGTATGTGGGCGTAGCCAGCCCAGAATGCGTTTTCAATTTCACATTACCTTTCATTCGTCATGATGTATTTAATGAAAATGGATCCTTTTTTATTTTCATTTTGCAGCAAACAATGCAACTGAAGTGCTAACTGAAATACAGAAATACATTGCCATTTAACATATTGTGTAATTGTTTTGTGCTTTACATTTTTAAAATTAATTTTGCTACACATGGTGAAAATGTAATCCTGCGTTTCCTATACGCGAGTGTAAATGCATTTAGGACATTTAAATAACATTTAAATGATCATTTGCTACAGTTTCTGCTTGTACTTTATACACACCAAATTCAGTTTGTGTATTGCATTTTCAATTCAAATTTGAAACTTATAAAGTATTAAAATGTGGACACAATTGACATGTTAAAACCTTAATTGAAATAAGAAATGCAATCATCGTAATTTAATTTTCATTCTGCAGCAAACATTGCACACATGTCTGAAAATGCTAATACTAATTAAATGCTAATTAAATGCTAATTAAATGCTAATTAAAATACAGAAATACATTCCCATTTAACATATTGCATTGCCATTTTGCATATTACATTTCAAAATGAATTTGCTTCCATAGTTGGTACTGAGTGTGTGTTGGTCTGTAGAACTGTATATCTGTATAAATAATGTACATAATAAGAAAAGACTGATCTCTCATCAGGGTCTCTGCTGTATCTGTAACCAGTGAAGTTTTATCATGTTATGGTTTTCAGACATGATGAACTGGAACTGGCTAGATTTAGTTCTTCTAGTTCTTCTTTATCCTTCATCCTTAATAAATCCTAACTAGAGAGTTTTAACTATAAGGCTTGGTTTGTCAGTTCACATGAAGCGCTAGTAAATATTTCCCTGTACTGCTAAGTTCACCAATATTTTTTTGATTGTTTATTCTTTACTGTTTTCCAGTTGTTTCCAACATGAGCAGCATCAATACAACAGTAACACCACAGACGAGCTCAGCTGGTAATGTAGTCTGATGATTCCTCTGTTGAGTGTGTTTGACTGAGTGTAGAACTGAACAGGTGTGTGAGTGTGTTTGTGTCTCTGGATAAAGATGAGAGATAAAAGTGCATCTGAATCTGTGCACAAACCTTTGAGTTGTGGTAAAGGTGTGGGTCATCGTGAGGTCAGTGTATGTTTTTTCTCTCGTCTGTACAGAAAGCAGCTCATCCTGGGTCTTGATCACAGCAGGAGTCATTGGAGCTGCTTTTGTGATGTGTATAATTGTGATGGTTTTCATGTTGATCAGAAGGTGAGTGTTCAAACTGTACAAATTCAGCTCAGGATAAAAAATTGTGCTTTAGTTTACATTTTTGCGAAGCATAAAATACATTGCTCCGGGTATATTTTGTTGCAGGTTTCAATGTCAAATCCACTAGAGGGCGCTGTCTACATGTGTGCAAATCTGAAATGCACTATTACATTTTAAATAAACTCATACTTGTCCACTATCACTGTAGCCACTAAGACAGTAGCCTGTTTCTCTTCATCTTGTATGTTTGGTAATTGTTTGTACTGTTCTCTTGTGTTGATGGATGAGATGTTAAGGGTAGGGATGTCCTTATCAGGTTTTTTTGTCCTCGAGTCTGAGACTAAAATCATTTGATTTTAAGTATCTACCAAAACCCGATTCGATACTTCTATAATACATAAAAAAATAAATAAAAAAAGAGAAAAGAAACAAATCCAGGATGTTCCTTATTTTTTATTTAATTCACCTTATTTTTACATTCAACATCTATGTTAACAAAAAGAGCACAAGGTAGCTTGAACAATCAAGTAATAAATAACATGAAATCTTCACTTTTAGACTTAAGTGCAACAGTAAATATTTAATTAAAAATCTAATATAAAAACAAATAGCACCTCAATGTAAAATACCGGCAGGCAATCCCAAGTTTACATATCTCACAGATTGCTATGGCAATGTTGTTGTCACACAGACATGCCACAGACGCCGCCCTGACTAGGCAGCTGCCTAGGTCACCTCTATAAACGCATCAGCCACACGTCATATGTATATATACACATACATATTCGAGTCCTGATCAGGAGGTAGCGTCCGATTCCGATCGAGTCTGAAACTGCATGATCGGGCCCGATTTCCGATCAAGTGATCAGATCTGGACTTCCCTAGTTAAGAGTGTATGTTTTTTATGTTCGACAGAGCAGGAAGCTGCTAAAAACTGCATTCATGCTGAGTCAGGCCCGATTAACTTTTAATCTTTAAAATTGATAAATAAATAAATAAAATAAATTTAGTGTACATTGTGCCGTACATTTCTTTTATTTGCTGTTTCCTCTGCAAAGAACGGCCTGAAAATAGTCCTTTATTGGCTATATGCATTGATATATACACTAGATATCGCATAGGGACCCTGAGCATGCGTCAATAGCGCCGCCACATTGGTACAGTACTCCCAGGACAAATGTCATTCAACCGCACTAGTCAAGACAGTGTTATTAGGGACTTTAGCGCTGTCTACGGGTGTAGAAACGAGCAAACAAATAAATCAAAGCACAGAGGCAGAACATTTCATAGGTAAGATTTTGTTTTTTTCTGTTTTTTGTATGTTCTGAACTTTTGTGCTAATTGGGAAACGTTATTGATGATAACAGTCACTTACTGAATTTACCATACGGCAAAGCAGCTCCAACTCGCACTAAACACTCGGCTTATGCTAGTTTTGTTGAATAAAATCAGCAAACAATGCAATAGAAATATGATAACGAGATGCTGCACTGCCAGAAACTTGTATTATTGTCGGCTAACGTTAGTGAAAGAGTCGTTCGGGGGATTCATTCACAAACGAATCGCTCTCTCCGTCAGTATGAGAAGTGAAAGCAGGAGAGGAGCTGTGTTTCAGGACATGATTAGATCAAATTTAACAGGGAGGGTGAATAGTACATTTCTGTACACACAAACACAAGCTTTTTGTCAGGAATGCCCGTGCGGTCACTGATCCATCAATGTAGAAAAGTGATGTAAAATTATAATTTTCGTAATTAGAAAAAAAAATTACATACTAACATCCAGGAAAACTCGCGATCACAGATATATGTGTATATGTGTATATCTCTGGCTTTGGATGGCCACAGTCCTCCCCTGTACCTTGGTCACGCATTCATTTCAAAGGAGTGCTACCCTGTAGCAAGATGGCGGCGCTATTGACGCATTCCATCCAATAGACAACAATAGGCCAGGCGACATCTAGTGTCAATTTCTATGGGCTATATGTCCCAGTAAATATCATTAGAGTGAAAATGAAAGTTGTTAGTGTGGTACTGCCCTCTAGTGTTCATTTTATGTAGGAACTGCAGTTAAATATATGAGTATGTTTTTGCAGTTTTACAAAACAATCTAGTTAAAATGCCTTTCAAATTTAAGTTGAAACCCGACTTAATGACTAAAATAGGTTTAAGTTACATAAAAATACATTTGTTTAGTCAGTTTGTATTCATGATCATTATTTCTTCTTCTCACAGGAAGCGAGTGACTCCATCAGCAGAGCAAACCAGCAAAGAACCACAACCACAGCACAGTGCGGTATGCAAATCTCCTCATCTGTGATTGGTCGTTGATGAACAACTAATTAATCCTCT